AAACCTTTCTGGGGCAGGCAACTTCCTTTGGAACTTTGATACATGCTTCTCAATAGAAAAATATCTTCTAATCCAAACTAATCCAAGCCCCAAAGTGCCTTAGGAAATCCCTGGTCCTCTAGTTAGTTAGTTTAGTTAGTGGGAAAGGGTGAAAAAACACCTTCTAGTTTGGAGTCAGGGATAAATAGGATGTTATGAGCTAACTAACAGCAAGGAAGGGAAGTCAACTTAGCACTGTTAAGGGAGAAGCACTGGCAAATAGCAGCACCTCTGCTTTTCAGAGATCTTCTGACACCTCAATGAGACTGGGACAACAAATGCTACTGTCTGTGCCACAACAACTCGGAGTACAGGCTGCACTCCACTGAAAGGGCAAGCTATGCTGGCAAGGAAATTAGACCATATTTTGTAAAGTCCTTAAGAGGAAACCTCAGAATACATATCTTTTGGGGAATCTTTATTTACAGTTAAATACCAGCAAAATCCTTTACTGATCAAAGTAGAATATGTCTAATTCTCATTTAGGCTGGCAAATGAATTCAGTGAAAATCAGGCTCCTATATGTTGCTGGGCTCCTGGACCACTTTCTCCCCTTCTGGATTGAGATACTGAAGCGATGTTCCATTTGAGCATTTTGCCCCTTTGGAAAGGCTGTAAATGTAGGATCACAACATGGAAGCATTTTCCACCCCATTTGGTTTTCTGGTTCTCCTACACTTCAGTACTAAAGATTCCAGGCTCACCGGCAGGGTGGGGCTGGCAAAAGAGGCAAATGCCCTGAGGCCCGTGATATAAAAGGTCCCAGGGCTCCCAGCCACTGTCGCTACAATAGAAACAGCAATGTCTGGAGCCCCAGGACCTTTGAATCGTTGCCTCAAGCAGTGCATACCAAACAGCACTGAAGGGGTGGCTGGTTCCCAACCCCGCCCCTTCCCCCAGAGACCCCACCCCTTTCAGGGGCCTGGAGCCAGATCTGACCCACCTAGTCCAGGGCTCGGCAGTCTGTCAGCTGCCCTGAAAGATTTACAAGTTTCTTCAGACCTCCTGGTTTGATATGCCTGTGACACTTTGGGAGTCAACCCAGACTAGTAAGAGTTGTGTCACTCCCTTACTCTTCAGCTCTGGATGCCTTCACTATTAGGGTTGCCAGGTGTTGGGTACTGACCTGGACAGTCCGGTATTTTCACCTCCTGTCCGGTAAAAAAATTCAGAAAATACTGGACACCTAAAATGTTCAGTATTTTCTGATTTTTTCCCAGCCAGGAGGCGAAAATACCAGGTTCTTACCTGTCTGGCCCGGTGCAGGAAGACAACTTTGGTCTCCCCCTTTTTTTCTCTCAACAGAATTTTTTCCCTGGTTGTTTTGTTTTTTTTTGGGGGGGGAGGGCTCGGTATTTTCAGTTAAACCATCTGGCAACCCTATTCACTATGCTCTGCACTGCTGCTATGGCTCAGCACTGACAGCCAGTGCCAGCAAACAAGCATGCAGGTCTCACCCTGGCTTCCACCACTCAGTTACTTTTCCAGAGAGAGACCAATGCCTTCAGAGTTCTGAATTTCCCCAGAGCCAGCTGCCAATGTGACAGCCTGCTGAGGTTCCCAGAACTGGGAGCTACTTTAAGCCTCAGCAAGGAAGAGCTTTGCTGTGTACAAACTTCCTGCCACACCAACTTGTCTGCTTTGCCAGGAAGCTCTTCAGGATTCTGCCCATCCAAACAGTGAACCCCAAGTCCTGAGTGCACCAGAGATACAGACAGAGGGCAGGGGAAGCTGAGGGAGGTTGTGCCTCCCTAAACAACCACCCATGGTTCATGTCTAGGCCCCTGCTTTGGCTGTGCCATTGGGCTGCAGGGACTGGGGTCACACCACCCACCTTCCAAGGGCTGGGGATATTGCAGCAGCAGCACTATGCACTCTCTCTACCAATGCACTAGGGCTGTGGGCACTAGCTAGCGTAGGGCAGGAGCTGGCGGCACAATGCGGGAGGTGGGAGGGGGGAGGCAGCCCTCTGGTTTCCAGGGACGTGGAAGGGTGGAAGGGGCAGGGCTGGGATCTAGCCTCCCTCAGCCAGAGAGTCATGCACCATCCATGCAGAGAAATGTTTCCTCATAATGGCCAGCTCTTTCTTGGATCGTTCATAGAAGTAATGAATGTCTATTTAAACTAGGGTTTGATAAACATTCATTCCATTTAGGGAAATACAACCTAGACGGAGCTACTATAGAGTGGGTGCATAACTGGTTGAATAACCATTCCCAGAGAGGAGTTATTAATGATTCACGGCCATGTTGGAAGGGCATAATGAGTGGGATTCAGCAGGGATCAATTTGGGGCCCCGATTCTGTTCAATATCTTCATCAATGATTTAGATGATAGCCTTGAAAATATGCTTATAAAGTTTGCAGATGAAACCAAGCTGGGAGGGGTTGCAAGTGCTTTGGAGAATAGTGTCATAATTCAAAATGATCTAGACACCCTGGAGAAATGATCTGGTAAATAGGATGAAATTCAATACGGACAAATGCACTTAGGGAGGAATAGGAGTGCTGTGAGCAAGACGCAAGGGCTATGTCTATACTGCTCCCGTTTTGCAAAAAAATATGCAAATGAGGCAGAGTCTGGAATATCGCCGCACCTCATTTGCATAATTAATGAGGCTCTGTTTTTGTGCAAGAGGCTTTTGTGCAAAAAAGAGTTATCTACATGGCTCCTTTTTGTACAAAATCCCCCTCTTCTACAAGTGGCAGAATTCCACATTTTTTTCAGGAAGAACGGCTCTTGCACAAGAGGGGTTTTTGTGCAAAAACGGAGCCTCATTAATTATACAAATGCTTTGCCTCGTTTGCATATTTTTTCTGCCAAATGGGCACAGTGTAGACATAGCCATAGAGTAATTCTTTTGCTCGTCTCTGCACTGATTAGGCCTCAACTGGAGTACTGTGTCCAGTTCTGGGGGGCCACATTTCAGGAAAAATATGGAGAAATTGGGAAAAGTCCAGAGAAGAGCAATAAAAATGATCAACAGTCTAGAAAATATGACCTATGAAGGAAGACTGAAAGAACTGGGTTTGATCAATTTGGAAAAAGAGAAGACTTAGAAGGGATATGATAGCAGTTTTCAAGTATCTAAAAGGCTGTTACAAGGAGGAGGGAGAAAACTTGTTCTCCTTGGCCTCTGACGATAGGACAAGAAGCAATGGGCTTAAATTGAAGCAAGGGAGGTTTCGGTTGGACATTAGGAAAAATTTCCTACCTGTCAGTGTGATTAAACACTGGAATAAATTGCCCAGGGAGGCTGTGGAATCCCCATCTCTGGAGATGTTTAAGAACAGTTGAGACAAACACCAGTCACAGATGTTCCAGATGGTGCTTTGTCCTGCCATGAGTGTAAAGCACTGGACTTGATGCCCCCGTCCCAAACTCCTCCTCCCCGCCCCTAGCTGCAGCACTGAATGGAAGGAAGCCCCATCAGCCAGTTGTCCTACTGCCCTGGAGGGTTAGCCCACAGAGCCCCAGCTCCTCCCCAGACAGGCAGGAGGCCAGGGCCAGGCAGCCCAACAACACTCTACCTCCCTGCAAGGAGCTGCTGGGGGGGCTGGCAGCCCAGCCCCAGTCCTCCCTACCCCATGGGGGACCCCCAGCTCGGGGGAGGAAAACAGCCTTCCAGGAGCAGCCACCAGGGTAGCACAACCCTGAACCACCAGAAGCAACTGCCATTGGAGAAGCACTACCTTTGCCACCTGCTAAGCCCCCTCCAACCTCTCAGACCCCTGCCCTGCGCCCCCCGATTTGAGTCCCCTGCCCTGAATCCTGCACTTCCCCAACCCTGAGCCCCTCACATCTCCCACCCCCTGCTTTGAGCCCCATTCTGAATCCTGTACCTTCCCCTCTGCACTCTGAGCCTCCCAGACTCTTGCCCTGAGACCCCCCACTCTGACTCCTGCATCCCTGCCCATACCCCTCACCCCCTGGCCTGAGCCTCCCTGCCCTGATTCTTGTGTCCCTCACATCTGCAGTCCTCTGCCCTGAAGGACTCAAGCAATGCTGGGTAGCAGGAACATAATTCTTTGTACACCCCACATCTATGCAGCACATAAGAACTGTGATGGTCACTGGGTTATTAGTTTTCCAAAAATATATTACATTCAACTTTTTGGGTCTATAGCATGATAATGTGTAAGGAGTATGTTAGACCTGAAAACAATCAAGTCAGCGTGGTAAACCACAAATGAGCCTCTTGTGTCACAAGACCATTAGATGCCCCAACAGTAGGGTCTGCCCAGTCTTTGAATTACTGTGTAGGTTACCCAGGATTGTTCACTCTCCCCTGCTGAGCAACCAGCCAACACACCACAGCCTCATCTGTCTGATTATCACTCAGAACCAGGTGCCAACCTGAGGCCATAAAGTGCTCAAAAATTCTACACATTCCATCTGCCCTTCCACTTGAGCAGCCCTAAACCCAGGGGTACCTGAGCCTTCAAGTCAGAGCAGCCCTTCAAGGGCCATAGCCGTTCAGCCAGGAGCAGCTATTTGTTGTAAGTGAAAGTTTTAGGTGAAAGATGTTTACCCCATATTCTAAGCATTGTAAAACTGTCTAAAAACAGTGAGGCTATGTCTGGACTGCAGCAGTTTGTCGGAAAAGGAAATGCAAATGAAGCACTCATTAGCATTTCTCACTCTCTCATTTGCATATTAAAAAGCCCCGTGTAGATGCGCATTTGTCAGCAAAACCCCCTTTTGCACAAGAGCCCTTATTCCTCAAAAAATGAGGTATACAAGCTCTTGCGCAACAGGGAGTTTTGCTGACAAAGGGTGCATCTACATGGGGCTTTTTACGGCCAAAACCTCTTCCGTAAAAAGGGTTGGAAGATGCTTTGCAAATGAGAGAGTGAGAAATGCTAATGAGTGTTTCATGTGCATTTCCTCTTCCGACAAACTGCTGCAGTCTAGACATAGCCTGGCAGAGGATGAGGGACTGGATTGGAGAATGGCTCAAATCTTGGCTCAGATCACAAGTGAGTTTTGGAGATCTTGTGTCTAGAGTACATTAATCAAGATCGCCCTACAGCCTACTTTGAATGGCTGTCTGCTCAACAGAGTGCATGGACTGGGTTATGCTGGAGGGCTGCAGATGATGCTTGAGAGGTACTGGCAGAGTATAGAAGAGCTGCAGGAAAGAAATAGCAGGGGGCTGTGGTTTGGGATTGAAGGGCAGTGGCCAAGTTGTGTGCATAGGGAGGTATGCGCTAGAAGAGGGAAATGCTAGAAGAGTATTGGCAAGAGACATGTGCAGGAAGGCTGAGAGTCAGGATGGAAAAACATCAGCAGAAGTGGGAGTTTCAGGGAATCAGGTACAATACTTATCTAAACTCTCACAATTGTGTAGAGCTTTACACTAGAGTCTTTGTGGTTACAGTTCAATGATGGGTAGTTCTCTCTCATTCCTATACAAAAATGGCTTCATTGGGTTTTTTTTATTATTAGGTATATTTTGAACAGAATGAACCTTTGTCCCTTTGTTTGTTTTGTTTTTTTAATCAAATAGCATGGGTCACTAATCACAAAAGGGCACTATGAAAGGAAGTCTTGCGTTTTGTTAATAATACACCATATGTTTGTTTACTCTCTTTAATCACATGATCTGTTGCTCTACAGAATATCCTGTCTGTCTGGACTAAACCAGTTTGAAGAGGAAGGTGTTTTGGACTCAATCCAGATAAAGAGTGTATGTTTTGGTTGAGAAATTGTATGTCAATTATAAACTGGTTGGTACAGTTCATTTTTACTTTTTATTTACTGCAATATTGTTTCATCCCCAAATTTATGTTGAAGAGGCCACTGGGTGGCATAACTTGAATTCTACATCAAGTACATGTGTTCTGTGGGTTTTCTAGATACTAAAAAACTGTCTAAACCTCTCAGATTGTTAATGCACAATATTTGTGAGGAATGGCACGTTATGGGAAAAATTAACACCAACTTGCTCATGCTGCAAATGGCCAGCTTAAGGTAACAGGTAATGATGCCAAATGAGCTGATAACTCGTACATCTGTAATGGGCCTTTTTCTCTATACACCTAGGGAACATCTACACAGTAGGGCTAAAGTCGAATTAAGCTATGCAATTTCAGCTACATCAATTGCATAGCTGAAGTCTAAATAGCTTAATTTGACTGTTGTCACTATCTACACAGCAGGAAGTCGAAGGAAGAACGTTCTTCCTTTAACTTCCCTTACGACTCATGAGATGAGGGTTACAGAAGTCAGAGTGAGAAGTCCTCCAGCTTGACAATATTTTGAAATAAAGGCTTGTAGTATAGATGTGTACTATGTTATTTCAGAATAAGGTCAGTTATTCTGAAATAATGTGGCTGTGTAGACATACCCCTAGAGAAAGGAGTTCTCTATATATCCAACTATTCTACACTGCTGCAGGGGGAGAAGGGAGTATTCAGAATAATATAGAATCTCCTCTTTACCCTCCTCCAGCTTGTTCATGGATTCACAAATTAGATCATTATTCGTCTTGAGAATCCCCTTTCTTTGATTTTTACACGCACAAAAATCCTTAGCATCCGAATTAAGTAAGACATATTAGTATAGAAGTAGTATATCACCAAGATTGGAATTGAGCCCATCAAGATAATATTTTTCCTCCTAACCTATGTCATCCACACAAGTCATGAAAAACATGTACCTGCATATATTTGACACCCAATTTCCTCTAGATTTCCAAATCTTGACCGTAACTCCCAGGAACTCAAAAGTTAGAGTGTTAAATCTCATCTGATGAAGTGGGTTTTATCCATGAAAGCTCATGATACTAAATATATTGTTGTAGTCTCTAAGGTGACTATTAATTTTTAAAGTTACATACTAACACAGCTACTCCTCTGAAATTACAGTTAGATTTTTAAAAACAAAGAAAAATGGTTGCTTATTTTCGTAACTATTGTTCTCCGAGATGTGTTGCTCATGCTGCATGCACAGACGGTCAGAGAGTTTTCCCTTAGCGGTATCCATTGGGCCAGCAGGGGAGCCCCCTGGAGTAGCGCCGCTATATCGGTGGTAGAAATGTAGCCGTGTTAGTCTGGTGCAGCTGAAACAAAAAACAGGACTGTGTAGCACTTTAAAGACTAACAAGATGGTTTATTAGGTGATGAGCTTTCGTGGGCCAGACCCACTTCCTCAGATCAAATAGTGGAAGAAAATTGTCACAACCATATATACCAAAGGATACAATTCAAGCATACAATGTTCATATTTTTAATTGTATCCTTTAGTATATATGGTTGTGACAATTTTCTTCCACTATTTGATCTGAGGAAGTGGGTCTGGCCCACGAAAGCTCATCACCTAATAAACCATCTTGTTAGTCTTTAAAGTGCTACACAGTCCTGTTTTTTGTTTCAGCTATGTCGGTGCATATCTACCCAAACTGGCCCTTCTTGCCAGAATGCTCCAATGCAGGGGAAGTGGGTGGGATTTGGAATTGACATAAGCAACATATCTCAAAGAACAACAGTTACAAGAGTAAGTAACCATTTTTTCTTCTTCAAGTGTTTGCTCATGTCCATTCCACTTAAATGATTCCAAAGCTAAAGCCCCAGGAGGCGGAGGTGGAACCTACCAAGAAACAGACTGCAATATATCCCTACCCATGGCAGCATCCTCCCTGGCTTGTTGCGTAATGGCATAGTGGTTTGCAAAGGTGTGCACCGACGACCAGTCAGCTGCCTTACAAATCTCTATGATGGGCACCTGGGCTGCAAAGGCCATGGAAGATGCCTGGGCTCTTGAAGAATGAGCCGTAATGTGTGGAGCCGTAACCTGCACCAGCTCATAGCATGCTTTGATACAAGCTGTGATTCAAGATGAGATACACTGGGCTGATACAGGGTGACCTTCCTCCTGTCCGCTATGGACACAAACATTTGAGAAGACTTATGGAAGGGCCTGGTCCTCTCTAAATAAAAAGCTAAAGCACGCCTCACATCAAGACTGTGTAAAGCCTGTTCAGTCCCAGAGCTGTGGGACTTAGGGTAAAAAACAGGAAGAAAAATGTCCTGGTGAACATGGAAGAAAGAAACCAATTTGGGCAAAAAGGCATGGTTCAGGCGCAGCCTGACCTCATCTTTAAAAAAAACCATATACTGGGGGTCCACTGATAGGGTCCTCCATTCCGACACTTCTCTGGCCGAAGTAATGGCCACCAGGAAGGACTCCTCCCAGGAAAGGTGCAGAAGGCAGCACGTTGCCAACGGCTTGAAAGAGGGACCCATGAGCCTTGTGAGAACCAGATTTAGGTCCCAAGAGGGCAAGAGCTCACAGACCTCGGAGTAGACCCTATCCAATCCCTTAAGAAAATGGTGCAGCATGAGATCTGGGAAAATGGCCCTGCTACCGAAGCCCGAATGAAAGGCCAAAATGGATGCTAGGTACACTTGTTCTGAGGAAGGAGCCTGACCCTGGAGCCTGAGTCCCAGGAGGTAATCCAAGATAGCAGCTACAGAATCCCTTACCATCTGACCAGAGAACGAAGAGTATCCACTTTGCCAGGTAAGAGGACCGACTGGAAGGCTTCCAGCTTCCCAAGAGAACTGCCTGGACCTGCTCCAAAAACTGCCTCTCCATGGCCGTCAGTCAGCCTTGGAGCTTCCATGCCATGAGGAGCAAGGAGCAGAGGTTTGGATGCCACAGCCTGCCAAACTCCTGAGAGATTAGGTCTGGGTATAGCGGGAAGGCTAGAGGCTGCTCTATTGAGAGTGCGAGAAGGTCCGGGAACCAATGCTGACGAGACCATACTGGAGCTATCAGTATTACAGAGGACTGAAATTCCCTGACCCTGAGAATTACTTTGTGGATCAGCAGAAGGGGAGAAAGGTGTACAGCAGGCCCCAAAACCAAAGGATCATGAGAGCATCCCCCAGAGGCCCTGGGTTGAACAGGGAGCAATAGGGATACTTCCTGTTGCTGCAGGTTGCAAACAGGTCCAGGTGGAGAAAACCCCACCTGCGGAAAATAGGTAGGACTACAATCACCCTGAGGGACCACTCATGCCCCTTCAAGGACCTGCTGAGGTGATCCGTCAACCTATTCTGGACCCCAGAAAGGTAAGTGGCCACCAGTTGACTACCGTGAGTTACGCAGACCTCCCAGAGAAGGAGAGCCTCCTTGCACAGGGGATAGAAGCGAGCACCACACTGTCTGTTTATATAAAACATTGCTGCTGTGTTGTCCATCAAAATCAAATATTTGGAGCTGAGTCTCTCCCCCAGCCCTGCCTGGACCGGGCCCCGGCCCCCACCTGCTGGCACCCCCATGCGTCCCTCCCGCACCTGGACCCGGATCATCCCTGCCGTGCGCAGCTTTCAGTCTGGCTCCCCCTTGCCGGCGCATGCTACCGACTGCTGCTGCCATGCACGGCGTTTACAGGTGAGCAGGGGGACGCCCAGGCGTGATGTGACGTCACGGCCCGGGACTTTAAAACTGCTTGGTGCAGTGTTGCACCGCACGGCCTAGCTCTGGGTTTGGAGTCTGGGGACTTCTGGGGCCTGAGCGCAGATTCCGGCCCAGCAAAGTGAAAGGCAGAAGGTAAGGTAAGGTAAGGGAGGGGAGGGGCAAGGGGAAAATAGGGGATGGGGTGGGAGAAGAAGGGGCTTGTGTGGAGGGGGAAAACAGGAGAAGGGATGGGAGAGGAAGGGGGAGGGGGGAAAATAGTGGAAGGGGTGGAAAAGGAAGGAGCTTGTATGAAGGGGAGGAGGAAAATAGGGGAAGCAGTGGGAGAGGAAGGGGCTTGTGTGGAGGGGGAAGGGGAAAATAGGGGAAGAGGTGGAAGAGGAAGGGGCTTGTGCGGAGGGGGAGGCAGAAGAAAGGGGAAGGCACTAAGGGACAGGGGTGCAGGAGAGACAAATGCCAGGGGGGCAAGTGCAAACAATGAGGAAAAGGGCAGCAGGGGAGGTGTCAGTGGGAGGAGGGACAGGGTGATGCTGGGAGAGGAGAGAGTAAGGGCATTGGGGGCTAGAGGGAGGAGGGGGAGGTGCTGGGAGAAGGCTTGAAAGAAGGGGTGGGCATGAGGAAGGCCGGGATGGAGCAAGTCATGTGTGAGGGCACAGAGGAGCATGAGGGGAATGGGGGCAGAGGATGGTGAGGGGGTGGGCATCAGGGAAAAATGCGGCAAAGGTGGCAGGGGCAGTGAGGGAAGGGGGAGGCACCAGGAGGGTGCGGGGTAAGGGAAGGTGCAGGTGCCAGGGGATTCTGGGGGTGAAGCAGAAGGACAGACATCTGCAGGGGAGGGATCAGCACCAGAGGAGAGAGGCAGGGCAGGTGTGTCGAGGGAGGTGTTAGGACGGGGGAGGCATCAGGAGGGTGCAGGAGTAAGGGAAGGTGCCAGGGGATTCTGGGGTGAAGCAGAAGGGCAGACACCTGCAGGGGAGGGACCAGCGCCAGAGGAGAGAGGCAGCGCAGGTGTGTAGAGGGAAGTGTTAGAAGAGGGGATGATGAGGGGTAGCTCACATGATCAGAGGGGGGCCACTGGGGGGGGGG